TGAGAATATGACAAAAACAAAAACAATAACCAACACAGATGATTCCAGACGTATAACTATAAATGGCAGTGAGAAAGAACAAGTCCAGGAATATACTACCTACCTAGGCCAAATTCTGAAATTTGACAAAGAAAACCAAAGTGCGAAAATCACTAGAAAAGAAAGACTGGCATGAGCAGGATTTGGAAATCTCAGTTCGATACTGAAGAACAGCAAAATACCACAATACTTGAGGAACAAAGTGTTAAACCAATGCATCATTCCTATCATGACGTATAGATGTCAAACCTGGATCCTAACCAAGACAAATATGAAAAAACTAGCCACAATAGAAAGAGCCATGAAAAGAACAATGTTGGGTATACGACGGTCTAAAAGAGGAACGACTAGGTAAGATCAGAAACAAAAGTTGAGGATATTACAACAAAAATGGCCAAACTCAAATGGAGCTTCGCAGGTCACACTGCCAGACAAAAAGACCAACGTTAGAACGCCATAATACAACATTGAAGACCTTACAAAGGTAGACGACCAAGAGGAAAATCACAAGTGAGACGAGCGGACGACATAAAAATAATTGCCGGAACAAATTGAAAGTATGTTTCCCAGGAGAAAAATCGATGGAAGGAGTTGGGAGAGGCCTATGTCCAAAAATGGACGAGAGACAACTAGGAAGAAGAAGCTACGAAAAAGAACTACGAATTATAGTAGATAGAACGTTTAAGGTACCCCAAAGAAACTAGGTGAATTGATAAATGAAATACAAACAAAATATAATCAAACAAGGAGTATCAATCAGTAAACACAGAAGCATATAACGACGTGGAACCAACTAGTGAGATAAATATAAAATTAATAAATTCTGTCTGTCACCTCAACTTTATCCAGATGGATGGATGCTTACACCCGTACCATAACCAAAATTTTCAATGAGTCTTTTAACGTGTTTATTTTTTAATGACTTTTTGAAAGCTTTCAAAATTTTAAATTTTGAAGAAAATATTTTGTTCCGGTTTTTGAACAACGGAATCTCTCTTCTGTAGTGGTACTTTTTAAATTTTGACAATAGCTCTGAAGATGGCTTTGTAAGTTGAAAAGCGCTCAGCTATCGTTTATTTTTATGAGCGAGAGAGTAATTAGCATAATTTTAACTGGTACCTTCGGCCACTCCATGGGCGTGCTCAAGATTAATTGAAAAATTACTTTGAATAATCGTAAAAAATAAATGAATTATTTCAGTGTTATAAAGTGTTATGTGTATGTAAACAAAAGTGACCTCTTTTATCACACACTATATTAGAACTGACTGGCCTACATTAAAAAGGGTTTTAAAAAATTCACATTTTTTTTAATTTTTAAAAATTACAAAAGAGAAAAAGAGTTTTTAAAACCGTCTAAGGTATGTTAAATAGATGAATAAAAATATTAATATAAAACTTACAGCTACTTGTTACAAATCCAAATCAGATTCAGAACCAAGATTTATAATAACTGGCTCGATCATTTTATCAGTAATATTGTCCAGCTTCCACATTTTTTCCTCTTCTTTAATAGTGTGATTTACTGCCTTTTCCCAGATTTCAGGTTTTACATTATTTACGGCCTCCAAAAACAACTGTTTAACATCATGAATTTTAAAAGTGGTATTTTTTCTTGAAACTTCACTCTTTATCTGTGCCCATACCAGTTCAATCGGGTTTAATTCACAATGATATGGTGGGAATCTAAGTACTGTCATTCCACGATTTTTGGCAATTTCATCAATTTCGTATTTTTTAAATTTTTCTTTATGAAGGGCACACAACGAATAAAGTTCCTTTCTTATAGATCCGGGATGGTACGTAATATTTTTTGAACTCAGCCAATTCTGCAAGTCTTTTTTTAACCACTTAATTGTGGGCAGTCCTTCTATAAGTCTGGAGTGATAACTTGCATTATCCATTACTATTACACAGTTCTTATGAAGAAGATCTATCATTTGTTCGAACCATTCTTGAAAGACATCAGCGTTCATGTCTTCATGGTAGTCACCGGTACGAGTTGATTCAAAAGTTAATAAACCACCTTCAACAAAACCGTCTGAACTGCCAATGTGTACTATTATCAGCCTGCGTCCCTTTCCTGATGGTGGGTTTAAACCAGTAGATAAGTTATTTACAAAAGCGTGCCTTTGACTTGTAACAGTTTCATCCTGCCAAAATTTATTTGGTGTATGACCCTCGCTGATCCATGTTTCATCAAGATAAAATATTTTTCTTTTTTGGTTTCTCATTTCCTTTATGGTTCTTAGAAAATGTCTTCTCCATATGACAATATCGCTTCTTTCTAATAAAATAGACTTTCTGGGATTCTTTTTCCAGCGGAAGCCTATTTCTTTTAAAAGTTTCCATAACGTACTTCGACTCATTTCTGGGTAATCCTTATCATCTCGAACTGAGACAAGAACTTTATCCAATGTTGGAAATTCTTGTCTAAAGAAGAATTCATGCACTTTCCGTCGAAGTCCTTCTTTAAAATGATATTCTATTTGAAATTTTGGTTTCCCTGGAGCATTACGTGGCATTTGAAAACTACCACTCTTCTCTTCTTTAATAACTCTGTAAATCGTAGATTTCCCAACACCAAGTGTACTGCTAACTAACTCGACGGTCTCATCAACACTTTCACATAAACGTTTGTCTGTAAATGATTTAAAACAATTAAATATTAATGTTTTTTCATTAACTGTTAAAGCACCAATTTTTCGGCGTTTACACGGCACTTCCAAATTTTCCATAACACTAGTATACACAATAAACTGCACCTTGCAACTGAGGTACCTACTTTTAGTGAACTGTTAAGAATTTTGAATACGCCACTTGGACCTTCCTACAAAATGGAAAAACCCACTATCACATTTTCTGTGAAATAAGTTTAGAAGGTAATTATCTAGTCAATTACTGTCGTAGATTCCTGGAATTAAAGAATTAAATGTTTGATTGTTGAAACCCTTACTTCGTGGAATGCACTCATTTCAGATAAAATAAAACGTTTTATTTTATCTAAAGAATTATACTTTATTTTGCAAATAGGTAGGTACTTATTAAACTTTTATTGGTTATATATAACCAATAAAATAAACATCTTACATTTCTTGCAAATTCATTAGTACCTGTTAACCTCCATCACTCCGACACTGGCAACCTTATTTAGGGATTAGTAACCCTCACAACTATTGTATTCTATTCTGCTCCAACCTTTATACCTGGTGGTCATACTCAATTTAAAATTGTTGTCCTATATACTTCTGTAAACTTGTTGACAAATATCTGTTTTTCATTGAGTCACCCGTATTAACAGTTTAGGGATTTGCATACATAATTTATTGTTTTATTACTCTCTCATACATAAAAATACACTATAGGAATTATTTTTTTTAAATAAACATATCATTAAATTTGCAATCTGTAAAATTTTACAATAGGCAAATGTTAATAACAGTAACAAAACATTTAGGAAAACTGTCCAGTGATAGTTCTCTCTCATTCAAGACAAGACCTCTCATTCTGTATTGCGAGAGGAAGGACGAAGGATCAGAGGTATAAATAGTAGAATTACGTTTTTTTGCAATTTCTATCACATCCTGTATGCTATTTTCGATCTAGGTACGGCAAATCTCAAGAAAACGTTGTGTTAGTTCCAAATCCAAAGTCATTGATGCATAATTTAAAGGTAGACGCACATTTGACCGCATCGGACGGCAACGGAACACACCGCTACAGTCTGGAAGTACTACTACTATTATGTATCCACATTAGATTGGTATTCACATATTAAAAGCAGATCATATAAAAAATATAGATACTTTGTGAAAAATATTAGTTATTTTTGTTTTCTTAATTTTTTTACTTCTGGCCCTCAAAGGCTTCACCTGAATCCTCATATAATTTTATTTCACCTATCCGCTACAGAGAAATAACTAAAATAATACAAGAAAACAAAAGCTTAAAAGTTTTAAGGCGAAATACAAACCACATCGGCAACAAAAATATGAACATAAAAAACAAAGATGAAAACATTACTACTGCTAGAACCAAAATCCTTAAGGTTGTCGAATCCTTTTGTTGCAAAATGTATGAGAACACCGACGAACAGCCACTACCCAAAATCACAAACCAGGGATCAGAACTAATGCCGGAAATAACTCCATACGAAATCAAAACGGCACTTTTAGAAATGAAAAATAACAAATCCCCTGGCGATGACGGAGTAGTGATCGAAGCGATCAAACTAGGTGAAAATAAAATTATCCAGGCTTTTTCCAAGCTTTTCACCAAATGCATCTACCAAGGAAAAACTCTTTCTCAATGGGATAATGCAGTCGTTACTTTATTACACAAGCAAGGAGATATAACAGATTTAAAAACTACCGTCCTATTAGCCTAGAGAACAAGCTGGATTTAGATCGGGATATAGCACTAATATCCGTGTGGAGTTGTCTGTCTCCCATCGGACGCGTCCCCAGGTGGTGGATAGGGGAACGCCCTAACCGGTCCTAGGACCGGCAGGTAGGTGGGAAATAAAATACCACCCGTGAACCAAAACGGACTAAGGTATGGTAACCCTAACAGAAGAGTCCCTGGTCCTCCAGGTTGGAGGTTGGGCTTAGGGTTAACAACTCTACCCCGTAAAAAAAATATCGTTACGAAATCTACAGCTAAAGAAACCGGACGGAACTTACGACGACGACCAATGCAACGAAATAAAGACAAAGATTTAAAAATTTACACGTGGAATGTGCGGACACTTTATGAATCTGGAAATCTTAAAAATTTAATAGACATACTAACTCAATATAAAGCACACATTACTGCTGTGCAAGAAGTAATATGGACTGGCCAAGGAATTATCCAAAAGAGACAATGCGATATATATTACAGCTGTCACAAGAATAATCACGAATTCGGGACCGCATTCATTGTTAACAAAAAAGTAAAACATCTTATTATGGACTTCAAACCAATAAGTCCAAGAATATGTTACCTAAGAATAAGAGGTAAGTTTTTTAACATCAGTCTCATAAATGTACATGCCCCAACCGAAGACAAAGAAGAGGATGTCAAAGATCAATTCTATGAGGAAGTAGAGATCATCTACGATAGATGTTAGATTGGAGATCTTAATACAAAAATAGGGAAAGAAAATATATGTAGTCCATACATCGGAAAATGCAGCGCTCATGACGTCACCAACGACAATGGAAATAGAATAATAGGATTTGCAGCATCCAAGGGGATGGTCGTTGGAAGTACCTACTTCCCCCATAAGAATATCCATAAAGTAATATGGACGTCGCCTGATGGTACAACCAAAAATCAAATAGATCACATCCTAATAGAAACCAGGCACTTCTCTAATCTAATGGATGTACGTACTTATCGTGGAGCTAATAAAGATTCAGACCACTTCTTAGTAGGAGCAAAAATAAGAGCAAGAATCTCAAATGCAAAAAAAGAAAAGGGTAAGAAAAGTACTCGCTACAATTTAAAACTCTTGAAAGAGCTCCGTGCACTAGAAAGATATCAAAATTACCTTGAACATGAAAGCACAACAGATGAGAATTTAACAACTAGCGAGCAATGGGATATATGTAGAAGAACAATTAAAGAAGCGACAAACAACGTCCTAGGACCAGAAGAATCCACTCCACGCAACAGTTGGTTCGACGATGAATGTGAAGATATCACTAAAAGAAAAAATTATGCATATAAACTTATGCAACAAAGAAGAACACGGGATAAGGAGCAAACATACAAAGATCTTAGGAAGGAGGAAAAACGCATACATCGAAGGAAAAAGCGGACCTTCGAAAACCAGATTATGCAAGAGCTTCAATCATTAAAGGGGCAAAATGAAACTAGAAAGTTCTATAATATCCTAAATAAGACAAGAAAAGAATTTAAAGCACGGCTGACGATGTGTAGAGACAAAAATGGACATATAGTCAGTACCGCTGACGCAGTACAAAGCAGATGGGTTGAGCACTTCAAAGAACTACTTGGTACCGAAGTGGAAAATGATGCGTCACCCCAAAGACCAAGAAATAACACTCACGTAGAACCTCTTTCAATATTTGAAGTGAAAGACGCAATCACACGACTCAAAAAAAGTCCCCAGGAGTGGATTGTATCCCCGCAGAGCTTATCAAACATGGAGGTAACAGCATTATGCACCAAATTCACAACATAATAGTCAAAGTCTGGGAAGAAGAACAAATGCCAGAGGAATTGTGTACTGGAATCATATGTCCACTACACAAAAAGGGAGATTTGTTGGAATGTAAAAATTATAGGGGTATAACTCTTCTGAATACAATGTACAAAATATTCTCCAACACCCTGTACAGCCGTTTAAGTACGTACGTGGAAGAAATCCTTGGTGAGTATCAAAGCGGTTTTAGGCCAGGTAGGTCAACAATTGACCAGATTTTTGTGCTACGTCAAATCTTAGAAAAAACCAATGAATTTAATATTGACACGTTCCATCTCTTTGTGGACTTTAAGTCAGCGTATGATAGCGTCTTAAGAGGTAAATTATACGAAGCCATGAATGAACTTAACATTCCCCATAAATTAATAAGGCTCGTAAAAACAACTATGAGTAAAGTGATCTGCAAAGTGCAAATACAAGGCGATATGTCACAAGCGTTTGAAACATATGCCGGGATACGGCAGGGAGACGCGCTGGCGTGCCTTCTCTTTAATATAGCGTTAGAAAAGACTATAAGAGATGCCGAGTTACATAATAGGGGAACAATCTTTAATAAATCAACGCAGATTATGGCTTACGCTGACGATCTGGATTTGATGGCACGTACTACACGAGGACTTAAAGAGATGACTTCCACCTTCTTGACAGCCGCACAAAATATGGGCCTTAAAATAAACGAGGAAAAAACCAAAATGTTAGCATCTATTCCAAATAACAGAGATAGAGCTAGAAACGCCGAACAAAACTTCAGTATAGACCAATATAATTTTGAGGTAGTAAATAAGTTTACATATTTGGGTTCTCTCATAACAAACGATAATGACACATCTGAAGAAGTTAAACGGAGGGTACTGCTAGCAAACAAATGTTATTTTGGACTAAGCAAGCAGCTAAAAAACAGAAATTTAAGTCAGAAAACCAAACTAATAATATATCGAACACTCATCCTACCAGTGCTGACATATGGGTCAGAAACATGGACCATCTCCAAAACAGACGCAAATCTTCTGCTCGTCTTCGAAAGGAAGATACTAAGAAGAATAATGGGCGCATTCTGTGAGAATGGTATTTGGAGAAGGCGATATAATTTCGAATTGTACGAGAAGTATAAAAAAAACATAGTAAATGGTAGAGATGTAATATCCTTCATAAAAATAGGTAGGCTTAGATGGGCTGGACATGTGTCAAGAGCAAATGAAAATTACCCACCCAGACGAACTCTATTATCGGTCCCAGTGGGAAATAGGAGTAGAGGCAGACCACGACTGAGATGGAGGGACGGTGTGGACGAGGACGCAAGGATAATCGGCGCGGCAAATTGGCAACGGTTGGCGATGAACAGAAACGACTGGCGAAATAGACTGGGGAAGGTCAAGGCTCAACTAGAGCTGTAGCACCACTGATGATGATAGCATTAATAACCACTTACTAGAGATAAAGAACATGATAGAGAAGTCTGCAGAATACAACAAACCATTGGCACTGATATTTGTCGACCACGAGAAACCATTCGATACCATAAGCCATCAGAAAATGTTAAAAGCATTGACAGAATGCCAAATAGACCATCGCTACACTAACATAATGAAATATATCTACCAAAATGCCACAGCTAGCGTAAGACTATCTGAACAAGAAACAAATAAATTCTGTATACAGCGAGGAGTGCGGCAAGGAGACAGAGTCTCTCCTATGCTATTCACGACACTTTTAGAGCATACTTGTAAGAAGGCATATCTAAATGAGCATGGTACCAACATAAATGAAGAAAAGCTCAGTCATTTGAAATTTGCAGATGACATCGTCCTTATAGCCGATCGTATGAATGATGCAATAATAATTTTTGAGGAATTATATTACGCTTCCTTGGAGGTCGGACTAAATATTAATATGAACAAGACGCAAATAATGACTAATCTGGTGCGAAATCGAAATATTGCTGTTGATGGAAAGGATATTATGCAGACTACATCGTATAAGTACCTAGGACATGAAATTCGGTTGGGCCGAGATAACGAGACATGTAAGCTCCCACGTCGCATAGGATTAGCCTGGGCAGCGCCAGCGTTTGGTAAATTAAACTATGTATTTAAATCGGATCTACCCATATGCCTCAAAAGGAAAATCTTTGACCGATGTGTGTTACCTGTACTCACTTATGGAGCGGAAACATTAACACCCACAAAAAAGGTAGTTAATAAGATTCGCGTGACACAGATGGCTATGGAGCGACAGATGTTAAGTATCTCTCTGAGTCCCAAATGAAGAAATACGTCGTAGAACAAGAAAAACAGACAATATCGAAAAAATCGCGTCGTTAAAATGGAAATGGGCAGGACACGTCTACAGATTATCACACAACCGATATACAAAACGTATTTTAGAGTGGAGAATAAGGCAACAAGCAATGCGTAGTAGGGGACGCCAACCAACTAGATGGACTGACGACTTGAAGCGTGTTAGCAATAACTGAATGTAAGCCGCACAAGACAGAGACAGATGAAAGAAGCTGAGGGAGACCTATATCCAGCGGTGGACGCATACAGGTTGATGATGATGGTGATGATCCGCTGCAGGATTAAAAATAACGTTTTGTTTTATGTTATAATATTATCATTTAACATTTTCATTGATTAACTGCCAATTCCATAAAAAGTTTGAACAGATATCTTTTCAAATATGTTTTAAATCATTATTCGTAATTTATAGGTTACCAAACATATCTAAACATCCTTTACATAAATAAAATTAAAATCCAGCCATTACACAAATTATTTCGTTTGACCTTCATACTAGAAAATGCTCGAACCCATTGTTGTGTAAAAATGAGTTTCGTGAGTTAGAACTAGTCATCGTCGAGGTTTATAAAGCTTTAGTTATCCCAATCCTAGTCCTAATTGTTATATAATTCGTTATACACTCGCACTCGCTTCTTCCTCCTACAAAGGTTTTATAGCTCAAGGCGCACAGGTCTAGGTCAAAAGGTAAAAAATAAAACACCTACTCGCTCACAACATTTAACTACGGATGTGAATCGAACATGCTAAAGTGCCGGTTATCGCGAAATTTTTAAGTACAACAGGATATATTTTGTGGTCAGAAAAGTTTAAAATTACGAGGTTTATATAAATAGTCCGCCTAGAAAGCACAAAGTAACCAGAAATGAAAAAGAACATAATTATAATTATTTTATATATATTATAATTATTTTGGATCAACAAATACCATAAACAATTAATGTACCTGTATGTACACTTCCCGTCATATAAAACTGGTACACTTTTTTTCCCAATGTAAACCTGGGTTCAGACTGGATACAATGCTTCGTGAATTAATAATTCGTTGTTGCCATCACAGATAACGAAATTGCACTAAATCTAAATAAAAAAAATAACGTTCAAATATGTATAAAATATTTAGATAGGTATTATCATTAACAACAAAAAACCGTCTCTAATAAATGACATAACTACAAATAGTTAATATCCAAAATGTTTGACGGATCTTTAAACCTAGAATATTGGCAGAGGGAACATTGGAATGTATCTACTGTAATTTTTTACTTCAATTGCCTACCGAACACGAACTGTATTTTGTGTAGTTTTAGTTATAAGTTTAGTACAAGATTAATTTATTATTTATTACTTGAACGATAACATTAACAAAAACTAACATAATACTTTATCCTAAACCCTTATCCTTTATTATAAACTATAAAATATCCGGGGCGAAAAAACACTTTTCAAAGCGTGACAGTTACAATCAAATACCTCACTGTAATGCTTTATTATAATAATATAAAGTTATCTCTAGAGTAATTTTATCTATCACTATATTTGAATTGAAATATTTTTATAAATTATAATAAAACACAAATCAATTTATGGGTACTTAATTGAGATAATGAAAAATTACAAAATTAATATGAGAATTTTTTGGGATGTATGTTTAAACAAATTTAATGTGATTACCTGGTATAGTGTTAATAATTTCTGAATAGTATAGTTGCCTAGTGTTTAGGTGAATCGTCTAAACCTTAAAAAGAACAAAAAAGAAGAATTTTAAAAAAATATTTAAACATAGAAATTTTAATAAACGTCAGAAAATAAACTGCTTGACAGTTTATTTGACAGTCTGTGGGAGCTAAATTAATAGGGGTTTTGTTAAATAAGAAATTACAATGATGTGGAGATGAAAAGAATAAATTAGTATTGTAATAGAATAAGTTTTATATCTAAACATTTTTTTTTTTGTAAATTCCCAAATTATATGTGATTAAAGTGATTATGAGAAAGTAATGTGGCTTCACAAATATGCCAAACAGGACAGTTTTATGGTTTAAAATATTTAAATAGAAGACAGAAAAAAAAAAGAACGTTGGTTGCTGTTAGCAACGGATAATAATGGGAATTGGTTTTTGGAGAGGACGCCGACGAGGTTTTTTTGGACGAAGGAGAGCCCTGAAACTGTGGAATAGGTCGGGAGTGTTTTTTTACTCGTCTAATTAGAATTTAGTTTTTCCACAGTTTCCACAGCAGAGATATCCAGAAATTTGTTCCAGAGAGTAAGAGAAACAATTTCACTTATAAATTATATTGGAGTATAGAAATGTCATTTAAATTGAGAAAATTAAAATTCATGAATTAACATAATTGCGATAGGCCTTAAAATTTGAAATTATTAATGATCATTAAATTAGAAATAGAATAGTACGTACCTTAACTTCCGAAGAGAGGATTGATATTCCAGTTTCACCGATTATTTTTGAGTAGTTAGTTTCCTTTAAAGAAATCAGAACTGTTTTAAAGTGAGGTTGGACAATAATTTTGGGGATCATTTGAAATTTTGATTATATTTGAATAGTCAGCGGAATAAAGTGTTCATTTTCTTTTTCTTTATAGTTCATTTAAACACTTTATAAAGTTGCAATATTTATTTAGTTTTTAGGTACTTGTAGAGAGTCTCCACATTTTGTAATACATTTTTATTGTCACGTCACTAAACCACGTTAAGACTTAAACGATTCCTATTTTTGTAAATTTTTAAAGGCAACCGAAGTTGCAGAAGAATTTTATTGTTTATATTAAATTTGTTCAATATTAATAAATAACGTGCTTCATTTGGGTTAATTTATCAAAGGTCTAAAGTAAATTTTGGTTTTAATTTCTTTTTGAACTCTACCAGGAGACTACAGAGTCGACGTCACACAGTGACAGATTGCTTAGAACATATAATTGAGCTAGCTGAGGTATATATTAAATTAAACAATGAACCACATATTTTAAAAATTACATTTATTATAAAAAAAAAAATAAAATTAATAAAATACAACTTTATGAATTGACGCTAACAACGTGGGGCCTATGGGAAAACAGAAATAAGGGTGTTTTTTAAGCAGATTTATTAATATTACACAGATTAGAGTAAAAATAAATTGGTGTGATTAGAGTTGCAGAGATTCTGGGGCAGTTAAAGTTAAATTTGAGAATAAATAGATATTAGGATAAAATGGCAGACCGAATGACTTTAAGAAATGGAAAAGAAGTCGTACCGAAAGAGAGTAAAGGAGAACAGGTGTTAGAACAGGAACAGGATATACAGGTAGATGAAGAAAGCAGAGGAGGATCAGGAGAAGTTGTAGTATATTTAGAGCAAGGCATACAAGAAGCAGGACAAGGTGATAGAGAGGGAAGTCTAACAGATAATTTGAGAGAGGAGTTGGATGAGATAGTGAGAGATAGATGTGATGTAAGTGAGGATGAAAGTAGAGTGCAGGAGGAGAGACGCAGGGAAGGAGATGTTGGAGAGTCAGGGATGGCACAGATGGATATGAAGTAAATAATGCGGATGCTACAACAGATGGATCATAATATTAGGGGGGATATGCACAAAATGGATAGTAATATTAACAATATTAGGGGGGATATGAACAAAATGGAAAATAATATTAAAGGAGAACTTAGGGGAGAGTTAATTAAAATGAGGGAAGAAATCAAAGAAGAAGTGAAGATAGTCAGGGAAGAGATGCTACACATTACCCAAGGTTTAGAAGAGAAAGTAGAACAGGTCAGAGGAGAAAGTGAGAATTTTAAGAGGAATGTACAGGAGGAGATATCCAGAGAAAAGGCCATAATTAGAGCGGAAATAGGACAGGAAATTGGGAGCAGATTTGTAGAGTTGGGAACAGCCATTCAAAAGAATTTACCAACGGAAATAAACAAAGAAGTTAATAAGCAGAATAAAGAGATTGTTAGGGAGGTAGAAAATATTAAAAGGCAAACTCAGGATCACGAGGAAAAACTTACCATTATCAAAAACAATATAAAGATGGGATTGCAGAATTTGGAACTGGAAATGGGTATGCATGCAAATCAGGCGGAAAAGGGAGATAGAGTATTACAGGGACAAGTTGAGGAATTGAGAGAGAAATTTAAAAATGCAAGTGAGGAGATTCAGCGTTTGGAATCAAATCTAGAACAAACAAGGGGAGTGAGTACTGTGATGCCGAGTTATAATGATGGGGGAATTAAGTTTGACGGAAACCTGAATCACTTACATCCTAGAATATTTGTAGATATCATCAAAAATAAGGTAAAGAATGTAAGGGATCCGATAGAAATGAAATTGAATATTCGAAACATGTTAGTGGGCATGCCATTATTATGGTTTTGCAATAATGAAAATTCCATAAATAATGTGCAGGAATTTGAGGCCAAGTTTATTAACTATTTTTGGGGAGAAAACCAACAGGCTAGTTTCAGGGAGCGGTTGTATTTTGGGAAATTCAATTATGAAAAAAGTACCAACTACAATCTGTAGGCAATGCAGTTATTCCAGACAGCAAAATACTTAGAACCGGCTATGCGAGAAGAGGAGATTGTCCTATACATCGCCAGGCAATATAACCATAACATGGCGGAAACAATAGCTCTCCACAATATAAAGACGATGGAAAGTTTAACAGGATATCTTCAGAGGATTGAGAGGAGTATAGGGACGCAAAATCGAAATGGACAAGAGCAAGGGACATATAGGAATAACACACAGCAAATAGACAGGGATATGTGAATCGAGGGAATAATTATAGGGAAAGAGAATTTGAGAGACAAAATAGAAGCAGGGATTTTACAAATAGGGGAGAGAATATGAACGATGTCAGGAGAGATATCGGAAGATATAACTGGGAACGTAGACAAGGGAATCCAAACAATGATAGAGGGAATAACTGGAGACAAGGAAATGACAGAGGCAATAATTGGAGACAGAACCAGGGAAATTATCCGCAGGAGACGAGAAATAGGGAAGTTTACAGAGAAGGGAATCCAAGATATAATAGAGGGGAAAATGAGGAGAGAAGACAGGTGAATGTAGTTAGAACAGAGGAGAATAGGGGGGAAGCAAGTGTTGATGCAGAAGGGAGAAATTTTGTTTAGACCGCTCCTATGTGCATAATATTGTCTACTTATCAAAGTATGAACATCCAAGGGAGTTTATTAGAGATACTGGGGAATTAAAAAAAAATAATAACACTAATACTTTAAAGTTTATTGAAGGGTACATACAAGATTCAGCATACAAGTTATTATTAGATACAGGTTCAGAAGTAACTCTAATCAACAAAAACATTGTAAATAATTTAAATAAGGACAATATTATGACACGAATTTGGTATTATAAGATATAAGTTTTGTAAATAGAAGGATAATTAATAAATAAGCATATCTTGAGATAAATTTGATAATTAAATAATTTATTAGAAACAGACGCACAGAATAATGATGAATTTATATAAACAAAAAAGGTTGATTTATTTTCAAGTAGATTTATAGGAGTTACAAGTATAAATAAATAAGCAAAGTACTATGGACAAATCGATATTTTGTAGAAATTGGGAAATAGGGAATATTATAATGATAAATAGTATATGAAATAAGATGAAAAATAGAATTATATGAAATATTGAAATATGAAATATAGAGAGTTATATGTAGAGATGATGAAATGAATATTGTATGGGGATATAAAAAGAATAAATAATAATGCGGCAATGAATAAAGATACTGAAATAGTATATGCGGAAATAAATAAATAAATAAAAATATAAAATAAAGAGGGGAACAATTATAAGAATTTTTACGAAAATAGTACAAGAAATAAATAGTACAGGAAAAGAAGTAAAGAAATTGGGAAAATACTTGGAAATTTAATTCTAAAGTTGATATAATTAGTGAAAGATTTATAGATTTTGTTTGGAAAATTCTGTATTTGTCATAGAGTAACTTATAAAAAAAAAATATTCAAGAGATATGCTTATTAATAAAAGCCAGTTTATTGTTATGTTAATATTAATAAAATATTTAAGTTTACGGGTAAGAATTTAGATTTAGTAAGTGCTGATAGTTAGCACTGAACAAAATCCAAATTGGGGGGAAGTTGAAATGATTTCAATATGTTAAAATATATACAACTTTAATGGATTTTTATATGAGTTTGTTGTTTATGAATTTCATGAAGCCATCACAATGTGGGTTCGACTCTGAAATAAAAGAGAGAAAAAGATTAGTAAATTGTTAAATAAATTAATTTTTACTTACCTGGTATAGTGTTAATAATTTCTGAATAGTATAGTTACCTAGTGTTTAGGTGAATCGTCTAAACATTAAAAAGAACAAAAAAGAAGAATTTTAAAAAAATATTTAAACATAGAAATTTTAATAAACGTCAGAAAATAAACTGCTTGACAGTTTATTTGACAGTCTGTGGGAGCTAAATTAATAGGGGTTTTGTTAAATAAGAAATTACAATGATGTGGAGATGAAAAGAATAAATTAGTATTGTAATAGAATAAGTTTTATATCTAAACATTTTTTTCTGTAAATTCCCAAATTATATGTGATTAAAGTGATTATGAGAAAGTAATGTGGCTTGACAAATATGTCAAACAGGACAGTTTTATGGTTTAAAATATTTAAATAGAAGACAGAAAAAAAAAGAACGTTGGTTGCTGTTAGCAACGGATAATAATGGGAATTGGTTTTTGGAGAGGACGCCGACGAGGTTTTTTTGGACGAAGGCGAGCCCTGAAACTGTGGAATAGGTCGGGA